AGAGAGAGAGAGAGAGAGAGAGAGAGAGAGAGAGAGAGAGAGAGAGATACTGGGGATTGAACCCAGGGGTGCTCTACCTCTGAGCTACATCCCTAGTACTTTTTATTTTTTATTTTGAGACAGGATCTCATTAAGTTGCTGAGTCTGGCCTCCATCTTAAAATCCTCCTGCCTTAGCCTCCTAAATTGCTGGGATTACAGCACCATGCCTGGTTTATAACAATACTTTTTGTTTTTTTGTACTGGATATTAAGCCCAGGGGTGCTGTATCACTCAGCTAGATACCCAGCACTTTTTAGTTTTGATTTTGAGATAGGATCTCACTAAGTTGTTGAGGCTGGTCTTGAACTTGCAATCCTCCTGCCTCAGTTTTTCAAGTTACTGGAATTACAGGTATGCACTAATGCTCCCAGCTTCTGCTTTTTTTTTAAGATTTTGATTGGAGACTATATACTCAGGGTAGTTTGAGTCCTGGAAATATTACTTCTTTGCTTTTTTGAAGTTTTCTTAGGGATGGGCAGTGACTAGGAAGATGGCTATTTTCTGTTAGTGTAGTGATTTCACTTGTCTTGTTCATGAAACAAAGCCTTATGCTTCTCCTGTATCCTTTGGTTTTGAATAAGTGGCAGTGATCTTCATTTCTGAATTCACTTTTTGACTATGTGTTTCTGTGAAGGGGAGCAATGGAAAAGAGAGTAACCCACAAGCTAGTGATATGTATGAATTTAGTTACCCTGAATTCAGCTGCTAGATCCTTCAGTTCTCAATTTTCCCCCTACTCTTGGCTTTTAGGAGAAGGATATAAATGATTAAAAAGCAAGCTAAGGCTGGGCATGGTGGCACACACCTGTAATCCCATGACTCAGGAGGCTGAGGCAGGAGGATCACAAGTTCAAGGCCAGCCTCAGCAACTAATCAAGGCCCTAAGCAACTTATCAAGACACTGTCTCAAAATAAAAAAGGTCTGAGGATGTAGCTCAATGGTAAAGTGCCCCTGGGTTCAATCCTTGGTACCAAGAAAAAAAAAAGCAAGATAAGAACAAGGATTGTGTTAAAAACAAACAAGCAAGCAAACAAACAAAAAAGCCACTAAAATTATCTTCCAGGTTCAATTTTCATTCACCTTCATCAAAAACTGCCTCGCCTAATATAATAGTTGGTTTGCTCCCCCCATGCAGTTGTGTGTGACAGGGAGGCAGGAGAAGGATCTCACGGGAGTTGTTCAGCAACTGCAGCAAATGTACAACCTGGGGTTAAATGTTTGCCTTGAATGGACTGCAGCTTGCTTACTCCCCATGCTGATGAGCTAAGCTTTTTCCTTAGCTTACTTTCTCTGCTCTCCTTCTGCTCCTTGCTCATCCACTTATAGTCTGCCTCTAGTCAAGATCTCTTTTTTTCAAGGAGAAATGTGCCTCAGGAGGAGGATAAAAATAGGCCAGTGATAACTCTCATTGGATATTCCCATTCATTTGGTTTGAAATTCTGTTCAGATCAACAAGTATTTATTGATAGCTTCTTTTTCCCTTACATTTATTGGAGTGTGAGAAATATAGAATCATGATGATAATGTTAATGGCTGACATTTATTTAGCATTTACTATATGTCAAGTGCAGCTCTAAGCACTTTATGTGAGTACATTTGATCCACATGGTGACCCAGTAAAGTACTGTTATTATCCTCCTTTTATTGAAAAGGAGACTGAAATTAACTAACTCACCCAAGTAGGAGCTGGTAGAGCTAGGATTCAAACCCAAGAGTTTCTGGTCCAGTAAGACTAGTTTCTTGCTCTTATGAAGTCTAGTTGAGAGATGTAATCAACATGCTGAGAAACGGCTAGGAAATAATACAGTGCTCTGGCAGTGAGGGTACAGGGAGTAGAGAAGGGAGAGAGAAGCTTAGCATAGGCCTTTTGGAGGAGGGAAGACTTCTCTAAGTTCCAAATTCTTCATCCATCACATAAGTTGTAAGGGAATCTACCTCATAGATTTAGGGTGAGAATTGGATGAGATATGTATTTAAAGAGCTTAATGGTAGTGCCTGGCATATGGTAAATACTCCATAAATTGTGATTGTGATGATGACAGGAATGTCTCTAGGACCTGAAAGGTTGAAATAGCCAGAGAGGAAGAGGTATATTATGAGGAAAGAGAGGAGTGAATATGCCTTTGTGAAGAGTTTCTAAGGACATATAGTTTTCTTTTTCACTTGCTGATGGTCATTAATCAGCTACTAGTTGAGCTAATTGAGGGAATGAATATTTTCAGCTCATCAGCAGCCTTGAGTCCTTTTTTAAAATGTGGTGCTGGGGATTGAACCCTTCACCCATGCTAGGCAAGCACTCTACCACTGAGCCACAACCCCGGCTCCACCCTGAATCTTTTCACTGGTCTTGAAGCATGCTAAGATACCCTCTGACGCTGTGAACTTACTTCCTGATTGATCCTTTTCTCTCCCTCCTCATCAAGCTTAACCCTAATGCCAGATGAGTGGGCATTAAAAGCCCTGGACATTCCCAGAGTGGGATCAACTTTGGTGCTTGCAAATCCAGGCTCAGTTGTTTGCCTGTCCTTAGTGGTTGTGATCCTTTGCTGAGACAGAGGAATTGTGGCTCTCAGTAGGTTGACAGAAGGCAGAGGTTAGCTTGGGGATAAGGGAGGTCCTTTGAGACCATAGGTAGCATCAATCAATTGAGTATTTGTTGAACTCGTACTATGTGTTAGGTGCTTAGAGTAATTCAAGAGAAGTAAATAGCATGGTCCCTGCCCATGAGGTACTGCTGATTTTGTTGTGGATACCAGATTGACATACTTGTTACAATTGGAAATCACCTTAAGATAGGTATAATTAAATGTTGAATTGCTTCCTTTCTTCAGGTGTCGCTACCTGGCTGTCCAGCTGTCTCCTGCCATCCCTGTGTTTGCTGCTATGCTCTTCCTTTTCTCCATGGCCACACTGTTGAGGACCAGTTTCAGTGACCCTGGAGTGATTCCTCGGGCCCTACCAGATGAAGCAGCTTTCATAGAAATGGAGATAGGTGAGTCTCCCAACCAGCTGGCAAACTGCTGTGCAGTGGGTGGCCCTATTCAGTAAGGGGTGGAATCATAATAGTGGTTGCAGATTCAGTCTGCTATTCTAGCCTTTTCTTTCTGAGATCCTGACCACCCTGAGAATTTGGTAAGGCAGGTATAGAAAGATTATAAAGTCACATGCTTTGTCTTCCCTATGTTGGGTTGCATTGCAGGAAGGATTTATTAATAAAGTCTGGCTGCATTGTGCTGACGAGGATCATTTTTTACTTTTCTTTTTTTAATATTTATTTTTTAGTTGTACACAGTACCTTTATTTTGTTTATTTATTTTTATGGGATGCTGAGGATTGAACCCAGGGCATCACACATGCTAGGTGAGCACTCTACTGCTGAGCCACAACCCCAGCCCTCATTTTTTACTTTTCTTGGGGAGGTCACCAGCATTATTTTTTTTTGACAAATGCTGTAAACCGTCCTCCATTAGCTATTATTTTTTTATGTTACTGAGTATTGTACCCAGGGGTGCTTTACCACTGAGCCACATTCCCAGTCCTTTTTACTTTTTTATTTTGAGACAGGGTCTCGCTAAGTTGCTTAGAACCTCACTGAGTTGCTGAAGCTGGCTTTGAACTCTTGATTCTCCTGCCTCAATCTCCTGAGTTGCTGGGATTACATGCATGTGCCACTGTGCCCGGCTAAACTATTTTTATATGCATGCACATACATATAATTTTGGATGTAATTTTGGGGATTCGTAGATCTTCCAAAGCATCCTGGATCAAGAATTCCTGTTTTAGGAATTCTTACAGAGACTTTAGGAATTCTTGCAGAGGTGAAAAGGGGCAGCTGTACTGCCAGGAACCACTGAGAATTCCAGGAGAGGTAAGGGAAGCGATTGCAGGCTCAGTAGTGTGCAGTCTGCTGCTTAGATGAAGAATCTTTGGGAAAGAGATTAAAATGCTACACCATGAGGAGCCAGAATGGTTTTGTGAATTGAAGCAGAACATCCCAGGATTAGAGAGGGGATATCCTGGGAACTCACAGTGGGAAAGGAGTCTGCAATACAAGTACTGGGGAGGTAATGGGAGTCCACGCAACCAGCAGCGATGACTATCTAAATGGTTCTCAAGTTTGGCACCTCAGTAGCTTGAGTCAGTATCTCAGCCAGATAGAGTAGAAGAAAGGGACCCATGATTTTAAGCCTAAGAAGCTATGCCATGCCAGTAGAGTGCCTACTTGTGGCTAGTCTTTAGTTCTTTGAGGCTGCTTTCCAGGCTTCCATTCTTTTGTGTAATGCAAAAGAATTTTATTTGTTTTATCTGTGTTTTCTCCCCAGCTTCTTAATGGATTCCTTTTTGAAAAATCAAGCCTGCTTTTGTTGAGCTAAGGAGAAATTGATTTGTGTGCATGTGAGCTAGAACTACCTCGGGTTGGGATGAGGGTGGGAATAGTGGAAAGAAAGCAGAGATGAGGTGTGTTGGCATGGCTGCAGTTCTGGTGAGACCAGAGGGTAGAACTGGGATTAGTTAAGAGTAAGACAGTGAGGAGGAGTTATTAGTGCTGTCCCCACCCCCCATCTTGTCATTCTTCTATATTTCCCCTTTCCATTTACATATGGAGAAACTTAACTTGTCTCTTAACATCTCACAGCAGGTCAGCAACAAGGATAGCTCTTTTCTGCCCCATCACTGGGCCGAGGGCCCAGATTCAAGCTGTCATGTTGTGAACTCTGCATTTAGCATGTTTCTCCAGATAGAAGAGTGCATTCTTTAGTTAATGTGTATGTTTATATTAGCAAGTATTTGTCAGTTTACATTCAGCCCTGTACTGGGTATGCTGTGTGTGTGTGTGTGTGTGGGGGGGGGAATTCATGTGAGTCCTTTTCCTCATAGCGCCTCTTGGGGAGAGTGAACCATGAACTCTGTTTCCCAGGTGCCCTCATGTAAAGCATATGCAAGGGAATATTAAGGTGGCATGCTGGCACTTGTATCATCCCCTAATGAATAGCAGTCCCCATCCTTTTAAGACTTGTGACACACTGTTATTGTTTGATTTTACAGCACCTACCCCACTCTGCAGAAAAAGGAAAAATGTTCCATATGGTAGATATTTTTAAAATCAAAGTGAATTGAAAAATATTCTGTTTTTAGAATTATACTGCATGGCAAGGGCACAACGAGACAGGGACTCTCATATGCTGCGGAAGGGCAGCATGAAAATTCATAAATCTGTCTGGGAAGCAGTTTGGCAATAAGTAACACAGGCTTTAAGAGTTTATACCCTTTGACCTGGTAATTAAGGGTTTGCTAAAGGTTTAGCTAGAAGAAATAATCATATATTTTAAACAAATCACCTTAGAAACACTTTTAGTGTATCATTTTTCTTTTTAATATGAATATAGCTATTTTAATGCTAGAAACTTCATATGTTACTGCTCAGACATCTACATGCCTTTATGCTTTAGAAATTAATTTTAACACATGAATATATTCTTGGGGAAGGAAGAAGGGGACTAGGATTGAGTGATCAAAGAAAATTGAAGCTTTTGTCTACAATGTTCTGTTTTTGCCTGCAGTATCATTTAAATAGTAAAAACTCAGAGACAAATGCCTAACAATATGAAATTGGTAAATAAATCATAGTATATGCATATCATGGAATATTGTTAATAATGCTGTTTTAGAAAAAATTAACAACCCTGGGTAAGTGCTCCCAGTTTAATGTTAAGTAAGTAATTCATAGTACAAGATTGCATTTATATGATCTCAAATTGTTAAAAGTCATGAATGTTTATTTATCTGTTAAGAGAAGAAGATATGCCAAAAGGTGTGACTATTTCTGAGTTGAGAGACTGTCAGTAATTTTTATTTTTCCTTATATATATTTTTTTCAAAAACATATTATTCTTATTTTACTAATTATTTTTTTCTATTACCTATCTTTTTATGCATGTATTTTATTTTTGTAAGACAGTGTCTTTTTTGTAAGATAGTGTCTTAATCCTATAGATTTTTAGAATTTTGCAATATACTATATTTTCTTGTGCTACCATTCATCTACATTGTTTTAAATGGCTGCATAATGTACCATTCTGTGCATTTATTTATTTAACCAACTTTCTATTGGGACACTGATGTTACTTAGTTTCTCACTATCAAAAAGGACTCAGAAAAATCTTTTTTTTTTGTATCAGGGATTGAACCCAGGGGCACTTTACCACTGAACCATATACCCAGTCCTTTTTATTTTAAATTTTGAGATAGGGTCTTGCTAAGCTGCTTAGAGCCTTGCTGAGTTGCTGAGGCAAGCCTCAAACTTGTGAGCCTCCTGTCTCAACCTCCTGAGTTGCCAGAATTACAGGTGTGTGCCATCATGCCTGGCAAATCTTGTATGAACATCTTTTGCATTTGTCTTTGTAATTTTGACAAGCTCCTTGTAGTGGAATTGCTAGGTCAAAGATTATACATATTTAAAATTTGGTAGCTGCTTCTATGTTGCTCAATGGTAAGGTATGAAAATGACTTTTTCCCACTTTTGCCTATGTTAGGTATTTTTATTATTTTTGATATTTGTTAATATTACAGGTGGAAATGTTGTCTTTGTGTTTTGATTTTTATTTATCTGATTATTAGTGAAGTTGGATGTTTTTGTATATTTTTTGTATTTCCTTCCATGAATGTTTTTCTTTGTAATCAAACACACAAACAACAACAACAACAACAACAATAAAACTTGAGGAAATTCTTTTTTCACAAGTACATAACAAAATTTCATGGTGCTCAGTGAAGTTTGGTGGAGGGGGACACTGTGTGATGTTGAAATTCTGTCTAGAAATGGTCACCTGGAGAAGGTAGTAGACCTAGGGAACTTTTGATGATCCTCACTGATTTTGGAGAGATGGTGAGATTTTGGTGCTTATGTAATGGCTAGTAGTGAGATTAAACTGTCTTTACTGATTTACAGAAGCTACCAATGGTGCAGTGCCCCAGGGCCAGCGACCACCCCCTCGTATCAAGAATTTTCAGATAAACAACCAGATTGTAAAACTGAAATACTGTTATACATGTAAGATCTTCCGGCCTCCTCGGGCCTCCCATTGCAGCATTTGTGACAACTGTGTGGGTGAGTAAAACCAACAGGATATTGCCTGGGGGGAAAACTGAATTGAATCAGGGGGTCAGGGTGATCACCAGTTCTTGGAAAAAGGCAGTGGAGGGCTGGGATAGTGGCTCAGTGTTAGAGCGCTTGCCTAGCATGTGTGAGGCCCTGAGATTGATTCTCAGAACCACATACCAATAAATAAATAAAATTAAAAAATTCATCAACAACTAATAAAAATATTTTTTTTAAAAAAAGTCAAAGGAGGTGAGAAGATAGATTTAGCTGGGAAACAAGGTAGATTTAGATAGGAAAGAAGCTACTGCACAATGGTAAGTCGATTATACCCGTGTAGACCAAATCATAATTTAAAATCCTCTAGTCTAAAATGGAAACAATCAAAGAAAACCCCAAACTCTTTGGTAAATAGGAAAATAAACTTTACCTGTTTCTGAAATCTAGATTTCTTCCACTGGATCCAGGTCATGTGGGGCCCTCCTTACATAGAGGGAGGAGCATCCTTGTCCACTGGAGGGCAGTATTGAGGAAGGGAGGCCTATGTCACAGTAGTATTCCCAAGAAGAAAGGTGGTTAGCATTTATATAGTTCCTACTATGCACTAGGTACTGTACTTATAATACCCCCACCCCAAAGTTGGTATTATCCCCATTTAACAGATGAGGAAATAGTGAAGTACCTTTGTATAAGCTCATGTGATTAGCATGAGATGAAGCTGGAACAGATATAAAAAAAAAGGCCTCATTTTTCTCTCTGTTTCTGCTGTAGTGCGGCCAGTGTAGGTGTACGTGATTCACCTAAGCTTCCATCCATATGTATGTAGCTTCCTTGTAAACACTGCCTACTATGTGGTAAACCCTGGGAAGGATCAGAAACAAGCAATGTGCTAATTGATAGGCACATGTGTAACATTGCTTATATTATTATTATTATTATTGGTCATAATTCCAACATTCTACATGCCATGCAGCGTGTCTATGGTCCTTGCTTTCTTCTGACTAGCCAATTCATTAGCCAAAGTGTGGAGAAATGTATCTTGTTTTATTTGGTGGAAATCTATATATAGGATAGGATTCTATAAATCAAAACTCATTTTTTATTTTTTTGGTACCAGGTATTGAACTCAGAGACATTAAACCACTGAGCCACATACCCAGCCCATTTTATTTTTTTTAAATTTTTGAGGCAAGGTCTCACTGAATTGCTTTAGGACCTAGCTAACTTGCTGAGGCTGGCTTTGGGCTCACGATATTCTTGCTTTATTCTCCTGAGATGCTGGGATTACAGGCATGCACCACCATGTCTGGCTTTAATACATATTTTATTTTATTTATTTTTATTTTTTTTATTTTATTTATTTATTTATTTTTAGTTCTCGGCAGGCACAACATCTTTGTTGGTATGTGGTGCTGAGGATCGAACCCGGGCCGCACGCATGCCAGGCGAGCGCGCCACCGCTTGAGCCACATCCCCAGCCCCTATTTTATTTATTTTTAAAAAATATTTATTTTAAAGTTTTAGGTGGATACAATATCTTTATTTTACATTTATGTGGTGCTGAGGATCGAACCCAGCGCCCCACACATGCTAGGCGAGCGCGTTACCGCTTGAGCCACCTCCCCAGCCCAGTAATGCAGTATTTATTACACAGTAAATCCTTTTAAAAATAATTTATTAATTTTAATTAGGTATATATGACAGCAGAATGCATTTTGATTCACTGTACACAACTGCAGCACAACTTTTCATTTCAGTGATTGCACACGATGTAGCATCCCATCATACGTGCAGTCATACATGTACCTAGGGTAATGATGTCCTTCTTATTCCACAGTCTTTCCTGCCCCCATGCACCCTCCCCACCCTCCCTCCCCTTAGAGCAATCATAGTTTTTCCATTTTTCCCATGCCTCCCCCACATGGTAAATTCTTACAGGTTCTAGAATCTGTTTCTGGGCTTTTCCCATTCCACTGAGCTATGCCACACTATTTTAAGTATACTATAATTTTATATGTTTAATAAATGAAGATCAAGAAAAACTATACTACTAATTTTTCAAAATTTCCTTTACTATTTTCAACTATTTATTCTTCCTGAACTTAGGAGGCCCACCTGTTAAGGTTTTTAATTGGAAAAGCAATGTCTCAGCTCTTAACTGGCAGAGTGAGAGAGATTACTTAACCACTTAGAGCCTTAGTTTCTTCATCTGTAAAATGGGAACAAGAGTGTTCTTTTAACTTCCCATGTGATTATGGGGATCAAATGAAATGACTGTGAAAATATTTTGAAAAAGTAAAGGCTGAAAATACATGTTTTTCACAATTGAAGGTAATGACTGGAGTCTTTGAATTAGGTGAACGGTGGGGTTGCTTTTGTTCTGGAGGCTTTGGTGTTGGACTCTTGTCTTTTTCCCACAGAGCGATTTGACCATCACTGCCCCTGGGTGGGGAACTGTGTTGGAAAGAGGAACTACCGTTACTTCTACCTCTTCATCCTTTCTCTCTCCCTCCTCACAATTTATGTCTTCGCCTTCAACATCGTCTATGTGGCCCTCAGTGAGTATGCAGGGCAGTTACTGGAGTGGGGGTGGGGAGGGAGAAGAGGTGAAGACAGCTTTGGGGGGTGGTTGGGTTTCTGGTGAGACTTTTGCCATTATGAAGCACCTCAGGTCTGATTAGAAATGAGCACTACTGTTTGCCCTGGAGCCAGGCTGCTGAATTCAGCGCACATCAATAATTATTTACCAAGTGTTTCAGCCTTCTCTCTGACCCTGTATTGAAGACCAGGGCCATAATTACTGGTCTATATCCAGAGTACTGGGCATTTCGGGAGTGATCTCAAAGTTTGGGGATGTATTTTGGCTCACTGCATCCTTTTTCCCCCTTGTGCTAGGCAGCAGAATGGATTCTACCCAAGAAATGTCTTTTAGTAACTTGGGTTTCACTTTGGAGATAGAAAATACACACCCACATCATATACACACACCAACAATCTAAGGGCAAGTGGGATGTGGAGTTAAGGGAGTAAACTTGATCAAAACAACTTTTTGGAAAGATAGGAGCTCTGAGATGGATTTTGCACAAGGGAGGGACCCTGATAGGTGAGGAGAGAGGATTTTTCTTTTTTTAAAATTTTTTTTAGTTGCCAATGGACCTTTATTTTATTTATTGATACGTGGTGTTGAGGATCGAACCTGGTGCCTCACACATGCTGGGCAAGTGCTCTGTCACTGAGCCACCACCCCAGCCCGAGAGAGGATTTTTCTTGACTATTTCTGGTTTCTTTCATCTGTTAATATCTCCATACATGTCCATATTTGGGGGCTGGGAAAAGGGATGGAAGCTTGATGGTTGGCTTCTGCCCAACTTTAGTCTGTGTCTGGCCCTGCATTGGAAATGTGAACTCCTCAGTCAAAAGAGTGCCAGCTTGGAAAGGAGACTCTTCACCCTTGCTTGAGTGTGAGCCACTCTTTTGCCAATGTGGAACATGGGATATGGAGGGAAGGAAATGAGTGGGCACTAGGATACTTTGTCAGACTACTAAAGTCTCTAATTTTTCTGTCTACTCCTCCTCCCAAATTTCACAGAATCCCTGAAAATTGGCTTCTTGGAGACGTTGAAAGAAACTCCTGGAACATATCCTCCCCTGGCAGTATGTCCCTGCGAAACCTTCTTAAACTACTTTCCAGCATGTCATCTCCTGTCAGTTCTCCTACCATCTAGTTTTCAGACATTAGAGAGTGCCAAAGCCTAATTTTTTTTTAAAAAAGTGTAGTCTTAGTGGTAGCAACCAGAATGGAATATGGCCAGGGCTCAAAGGGAGGTCTTTCCCTCATCCCCTTGCCATCTGCCTCTTTCCCAACTCCTTTTCCCAGACATGACCTCTTTCCTTTAGTGGGTTGTACTTGCCTCAATATCTTATTGTACTTGCCTCAATATCTTACTGGAAGTCCCATCGTCCTGTTGTAATCAAAACTTCTTTTGTACAGTAACTATGTTTCTGAAAAGGAGATGTAGATTTCTATAAATCACATGTTGTTTCTTTCCCATTAATGTTTCACTTAAAAAGCTTATATTTTGATGAGATTTGCACTACCAGCGATGGCCAATATTGTTTAGCCTTGGCCCTCTCCAAAGAGTGAAAGACAAAAAAAACAGGCAAACACTTAAATACACTAGTGATGGTAGAGATTTGTCCAGTAGGGAATGAAGGGAAATCTTTTACCTTATGGAATTCATCTGGATATTTGGCTTTTTGTGACATTTGTTCTAAGAGGTAAAGAGGTTTGACTGGTACCATAAATATGATCTGAGGTATCAACTTCCCTGGTGTGACTTCTTCAACATTCCTTAACCTAACATCACTGTTCTAGAAGTCCTCATTTGCTTCTTCACACTCTGGTCCGTCGTGGGACTGACTGGATTTCACACTTTCCTCGTGGCTCTCAATCAGACAACCAATGAAGACGTGAGTCAACTTTCTTTTTCTCCTCATCAGATATTCTCATTCTCCCAAAAGCCTATTCTCATTTTACTTGCTAGAGAACCAGTCTTCAGGGCCTGGAAGATTGAGGTGAGCAGAAATCTGATGTAGAAGATCCTTAAATCAGATGTGTGGAAGGCAGACTGCTTTGTTTGGCGCTGAATGCCTGTAGGGCATTAGGAAGAAGAGGTCAAAGAGTTGGGTGGGTGTAAGGTCTTTAACTATTCATAGGTCCTTAAAAGTTAGCCAGATGCCTCTGGATTTGGAGTGGAAAGGGGCAATACCAGTGAATAAATTCTTGCTTTAAAAAAGGTGCCAGTTAGTCCACATTCATTGTAGAAAATCAGAAAATACAGATGAGCAGAAAGGAGAGAATGAATCCCTGTAATTTTACCTTCTGTCATTTTCTTAATGTCATGATTTATAGTCTTCCAAACTTGTCTGGACTTATTCTCGTGTTTGTTTATGCATACATTATGTATTTTTCAATAAAATAATTTATCTGCTTTTTTCCTCTTTTATGAACATTTTCATGTCTCTATACAGTGTATTTCTTTTTTATTGTGATAAAATATACTCAAGATATGCCATCTTCACCATTTAAAAAAATTTTTTAGTTGTAGATGGACATAATACCTTTATTTATTTTTATGTGGCACTGAGGATCAAACCCAGTGCCTTCCAAATTTGAGGTGAGTGCTCAACCACTGAACTACAACCCCAGCCCCATCTTCACCATTTTAAATGTACAGTTCAGGGGCATTGAGTATATTTACATCCTTGTACAACCGCTGCCTCCATCCACCTCCTGAACTTTCTCATCATACCATGCCACATGTATTTCTTCAGCATAGTTTTTAATGAAAGTCTTGGCTTTTATTTTGTAGATCAAAGGATCATGGACAGGGAAGAATCGTGTCCAGAATCCCTACAGCCATGGCAACATTGTGAAGAACTGCTGTGAAGTCCTGTGTGGCCCCTTGCCTCCCAGGTACTCAAGAGACTAAAATGTCCTGAGATTCTTGGGATGAGCAATGTAACCTTATTCTGTTACCTGGTCCAGTGCATTCTTCTGCATGTGAACTCTCAGTGTCAAATAGGTCTGGTGCCATATCTACATGGAACATAGACCATGGGCTGGCTATTTTGAAGAGATCATATTTTATTGTCATTTCATTTGTTTGTTCCTTATTTATTATGGCATTCACTGGTTTGTGAAAGAAAAAAAAATGAATGGGAGATAGCAGGTGTGTTCTTGGATCAGGCTAAATTGCCAAAGGACAGATTTATATTTCCTATATACACAACGGGGTTCAGTGGCCTGGGTGGGTGGAGGAGAGAATGCCAAGTCCTTGATTAACTCTCATCTCCTTCAGTGTGCTGGATCGAAGGGGTATTTTGCCACTGGAGGAAAGTGGAAGTCGACCTCCCAGTACTCAAGAGACCAATAGCAGCCTCTTGCCACAGAGCCCAGTAAGTGTTCCTGATTTATGGTTGAGTCTGTGATAGAAAGCATGTAGACTAACTTTATAGCTTAGAGATACAATTAGGCAATTTCATATCCTTATCTCTCCAGCAACCCTGTCTCTGCTTCTGCTTGACATTGCCTCTAGCTCTTTGTGCCCTTGAGGTAGATTAAAGTTTATTCATTTTTTTGACATATATTGAGCAACTAATGTGTGCCAGCTACTATGCTAGGTACTGGGGACACACCAGTAAACAAGGCAAATTATGTCCCTGCTTTCAAGGAGCTCATTGTCTGTGGGGGCCAAGGGATAACAAAAAAGGTCATTGCTCAATGTTGTGAAACATACCTTAATGAAGGAAGCATAAAATGTTACAGAAGCAAAGGTGGGGTCAGGGGGCTATGTTAGAGTTGGTGATGTGCTTACCTTGGTAGGAGGGCACTTCATTGCTGGAATATGTAGATGTGGAAAGTGTCCCAGCAGTCCTGCTCAGTATATATTTCATAAAATATCCTAAAAAGTTATTATTTGAACTTTGTTTTTAATGTTTTATTAGTGCATTATAGTTATACAGTGGTGGGGCTCATTGTAACATATTCATATATGCACATAACATAATTTGCTCCAATACATTCCCACGTACTTCACTTTTCCCTCCCCTCTTCCTTCCTCCTGTTCCCTTTTTTTCCACTCTTCTGGTCTTCCTTTCATTTATTTATGTAATGTTTATATATATTTAAGAGCTTTATTGAGATATGATTGACCTACCATATAATCTCTATTTAAAATGTACAGTTCCCTAGTATTGTATATTCAGAGTTGTATGATCCTTGAAACAATTAATTTAAAAGCATTTTATTAAACTACCTGTCAAAAAACTTTGTACTATTAGCTGCCACTCTCTCTTTCCTCCCGACTCCTTTAGTCCCCTCCCAAGACAGCCACTGAAATCTACTTTCTTTTGCTTTAGATTTACCTATTCTGTACATTTTGCATAATTGGAATTCCACAATATATGGTACTATGTGACTGGATTCTTTTACTTAATACAGTATTTTTAAGATTCACCCATATTGCAGCAGGAAGCAGTACTTCATTCCTTTATATAGCTTAATAATATTCCATTATTTAGCTGTACCATATTTTATTTGTCCATTCATTAGTTGATGTACTTTTGGGCTGTTTCTACCATTTGTTTATTGTAAGTAATGCTATTGTGAACATTTGTACAATTTTATACAATATTTTTGCATGAATACAAGCTTTCATTTCTTTTGATGGGGAATGAAATTACTGGTGAATATAGTAATTCTGTGTTTAACCTTTTGAGAAATTGCTGCATTGTTCTCCAAAGTGGGTATGCCATTTTACATCCCCACTAGCAGTGTATAAGTATTTCAGTTTTTCTATATCGTTGGTAACCTTTATTATCTGACGTTTGGATTTTAGTCATCTTGGTGTGGAGAGGTATCTCATTGTGGTTTTCATTTGTGTTTCCGTAATGACTAATGATGTTGTGTGTCTTTCCATTGTAGGTATTGGCTATTTGTATATTTTTGGAGAAGAGTCTATTTTTAAGCTTTGTCCATTTTTAAAATTGAATTATTTGTGTTTTTTATTATTGAGTTATAAGAGTTCTTTATATGATCTGTATACAAGTCCCTTCGAGATATATGATTTGCAAATATCTCCCATTCTGTGGGTTGTCTTTTCACTTGCTTGATGATGTGTCACCTTTAAAGCACAAAAGTTTTAACTTTTGATATAGTCCAGTTTATCTTTTCTGTTGTTGTTGCTTGTGTTTTTGGTGACATATCTAAGAAACCTTCGCCTAATCCAAGGTCATGAAGATTTATGCCTGATTTCCTGTAAGAGTTTTATAGTTTTTGGCTCTTAACATTTTAGCTCTTTGATCCATTTTGAGTTAATTTTTATATATGGTGTGAGGTAGGGGGTCTGCATTCTTTCTTTTGCCTATGGATATTCAGTTATCTTTGTATCAGTTGTTGGAAAGACTATTCTTTTTTCTATAGAATTATCGTTACCCTTGTTGAAAAGCATTTAACTGTAAATGTTAGAGTTTGTTTCTGAACTTTCAATTCTATTCTGTTGATCAATATGTCTTTTCTTATGCCTAAACCACACTGTCTTGGTTACTCTAGCATTGTAGTATGTTTTGAGATTAGGAAATATGAGTCCTTCAACTATATTATTCTTTTTCATGATGGCTTTGACTATTCTAGGTCCTTTGAATTTCCATATGAGTCATAGGATCAGCTTATCAATTTCTGCAAAGAAGTCAGTTGACATTTTAATAGGGATTGCATTGAATCTATAGGTCAATTTGGGGAATATTGCCATCTTAACAAGATTAAGTTTTCTGAGTTACTAACATGAGTTATCTTTTTGTTTGTTTAGGTTTTTGATTTCTTTCAATAATATTTCATAGTTTTCAGAGTTGAAAACTTATTCTTTTTTATATATATTTTTAGTTGTCAATAGACCTTTATTTTATTTACTTATATGTGGCACTGAGAATCAAACCCAGGGCCTCACACGTGCTAGGCAAGCACTGTACCACTGAGTCACAACTGCAGCCCTGAACACTTATTTTTTAAAGATTTTTATTTTATTCTTTATTTTAATAATACTGGGGATTAAATACAGGGGAACTATACTACTGAGCTACATCCCCAGTCCTTTTAATTATTTCTTTAAAATTTTCAGATAGGGCCTTCCTTAATTGTTGAGGCTAGCCTTGAAGTTATGATCCTCTTGCCTCAGCCTCCCTAGTTGCTGAGATTACAGACTTATTCCACCATATTTGGCTAAATTTTACACTTCTTTTGCTACATTTGTTTATAAGTATTTTATTCCTTTTGATGTTACTATAAATTAAATTGTTTTCCTAATTTTCTTCCTGGAATTTTTCATTGGGAGTATATTGGGAGTACACAAATTGATCTTTGTATATTATTATTGTTTCCTGAAATCTTGCTGAAATTATTTATTAGTTCTAATAGATTTCTCGTCAATTTAGACTTTATTTTAAAATAGCATCCTATTTTAATTTGAATAGATTTTGTAAAGTAAGTCATTGTTCTCTACTTTGTCTTTCATTTTAATGTACAGCATACTGATATTTATGTATTAGTGTCATCATTTTGAATATCATTTTTCTGATGAGTGTGGTCCCAAACCATAGCAATTTAAGTTGGTGACTTTCAGTTGAATATGGGTGAAATGTAGTATTTTAGAATAATTAGGGGACATTTTTAAACTATATATGATCATCTGAAACTCCACCTTCTTTGATTTGGAGTCAGTATTCTAGTGAGTTCTGTGTAAGGGCAGAAACAGGGTTAAGAACCATTGGGTCAGCACTTTTTGTTCAAGTACATTATAATGTTCTGTTGTGAAAGGAGCCATCTAATTATTTGTGGTCCTTATCATTATTATTATCACAAATATTAATGGAAGCATCTGTCCACAATAGCCAGTTGAGGAGAGAACTCAAGTAAGCTTCAGTTGAATCTGCTGAGAATGTGTAGCCTGGTCTTGGGCTGAGTTTAGTGATGGTGGCTGCATATCTGTAGCATCAGTGTGGTGGAGAGCTTTTGAGGAAGAGATCAGGGTCTGGATTATCTGCATTTGGATTTTGAGAGAGAGCCTTGTGTTGAATCTTATATCTTTTCCCTTTCAGGCCCCAACAGAACACCTGAACTCCAATGAGATGCCGGAGGACAACAGCACTCCGGAAGAGATGCCACCTCCAGAGCCCCCAGAGCCACCACAGGATGCAACTGAAGCTGAGAAGTAGCCTATCTATGGAAGAGACTTTTGTTTGTGTTTAATTAGGGCTATGAGAGATTTCAGGGGAGAAGATATACCCGAGACAGAGAGCAAGTAAGCTGTCCCTTTTACTGTTTTCCTTTGGTCTTTAGATACACAATTGCACACTGGCATTTTCTTGCTGCAAGCTTTTTTTTTTTTTATTTCTGGACTCAAGGCAGTGGCAGAAGATGTCAGTCACCTCTGGCAACTGGACAAATGGGTCTTTTGGACCTTGGCACTTATTTCCCATGGCCCTAGCCATGGGGTCTCCTTGGACTCCTCTCCCCACCAGATCCCAGCTCTCCTGATTGGGGTCATTGGTCTCATTATGGGGCTAACGATTCTTGAGACTGGCTCAAGTCCTCAAGCTGCTGCATGTCCTGAGTCCAGAAGCAGACACAGAAACCTCTGGCCAGGGAATCCTAACTGGGTTCTTCTCCTTCAGAATTGATAAGGATGGAGAGTGAGGTTGGAGGATTCTCCTGGCTACAAAGTGCCAGCATTGCCAGCCAATCCTTTTAGGAATGGGGCAGGTACCTTCCTCTTGTATTTATTCATGTAGCTTTTCTCCTTTGTCCCCCATCCACTCTCTAACACCCATGTCCCACTCTTTCCCCATTAGATATATGTAAGTAGTTTTAGTAGAGCTAACAATTTACATTTCTCATAGATTCTCCAGGAACTTTTAATACCTGTGCTATTCTCAATAAGAATTGACAAGATGCCAATGGCATAGCCCCTCACACTCTCTGCCTCATCTCTCCTCCTTTCTCATTAGCCCATTTAAATTTTTTTTTCTTTTTACTCTTGCTCCCAATAGGAGCAGGAACAGCAGTAATAAAAGTCTACACTTTGGTGATTCCTTTTCCTCAGAGGAAACCCAAGTGCTCACTTAAACACTACCCCCTCAGATTCCCTGTGTGAGGCCTACAGAGGCCCTGAATGCACAAATGGGGAAATCAAGGCACAGAGAGGCTCTCCTCTCCTCTCCTCTCCCTCTATGTCCCCTTTAGAAAAAGAAAAAAAAGGAAAAAGAAAAAAAAAAGAGAGAAAAAAAAAAAAGGCTAACCAGTACTTCCATTAAGCCTTGGCTGAGTGAGGGAAAGCCCAGAACTGCTGCCCTCCCGGGTAACCCACTCCAAGGCCTCAGCCCACCTTGGGCAATGGTAACCACACCAGGGGCTTCCTCCAAGCCCCACTCTTCCAGCACTTCCACTGGCAGAGTCCCAGAGCCACTTCACCCTGGGGGTGGGCTGTGGCCCCCAGTAAGCTCTGCTCAGGACCTGCACTATTTCAGGGAAGAAGATTTATGTATTATATGTGGCTATATTTCCTAAAGCACCTGTGTTTTTCTCTTTCTAAGCCAGGGTCCTGTCTGGATGATTTATGGGGATGGGGGGAGTGTAAACCAGAACTTTTAATCTATTTGAAGGCGATTAAACTGTGTCTAATGCAAACTGCCTGCCTCTTCCTTCCCCTTCCATTTCAAGAACCACCATGGGGATGTGAATGTGTTTGTGTGTTGGGTGGGGGGTGGGGGTTGGAAGGGTTGCTTGTTACTACCCATACTTCCATTTTCCAGGGTACCCTTGGGTTGGAGAGATAGCTCCCAAACTCAAACTCTCCATTTATCTCTACTACCTTCTGGGCCGAAGTTTATCTCACTCTGGACTATGACAAAAGGACTTCTAAGCAATATACAGTGTGAACAAGATTAGGATGGTTGAGAAATTATCCTTAAGAGAACAAGTTCTTCATTAGGATATTGTTTGCAAGCAGATGGGCACTGTTTATTGCAAATGAGTCTTGGTTATTAAAGCAGGCTCACCAGGGCCTTCCCTTGGAAATATTTCATTTTAGTGGTCTTTTACAAGTGATGGTATATATTTTTTTTCAAATAATCTGTAATCAAGACTCCTTACTGATTCCTAGCTCACTCTTCCCAGTTAATCGGAATTAGTGAAATTTGGCTGCTCCCAGATTTTTCTCTGTGTCTCCCTATTTTCCTTGTAGCAAGATTTGAATTTAGCATGAGAGAGAGATGGGAGAGAGATTAATTCATATCCCTCTCCTATTTGCTTCTATTTTACCATTCTTTTTCTGGCTCTCTCAATTTTATTTTTTTCAGTTAGGTTTTAGTTATTTCAAAATAAGGTCAAGCTTGGAGAGTTTGGAAATTATTATTTTTTTTCCAGTCAAGCTGTCATTCGTGTTAACTCTTTCTAGTCAGTACTCAGCCCATCCTGTCTCAGCCTGTCTCCTCTCTTGGGCCAGGATGGATCTCTCTCCTCCCTCAACTTACCTCAGCCACTTTCCTGCTGACCCTTAGGTCACTCAGAGAAGTTTTTCTTTCTGATGTGAAGGGTCAAGTGGAAATGTCTTATCTGTAGTGTGACATGATTTTTAAAAATGTTTCTGTTTTTTCATATGCCCAGCCCACTTTATTTTCCTTTATAAATCTGTATTTAAGACCTTGGCCTCAAGATCTTTCCCATTTATACCATGCACCAGCCAAGACTGTCCCTAGTCTGAGCTCTGATCAGAGGAGAGATTGAAGGATTGATCTTACCCTGGAGAAAGGGGCCTTATATTATTTGATCTTTTCGATGGTTGACACTCTCTCCAACTCCCCCTTTCCTTCCCATTCCTCATGCTTCCTATGCACCCTACTTCCCCAGGCCAGGAGGGTTGGCACTGATCCAAAAACCTCTGGGGGTGGGGTGGAACTTATGTCCATTTGACTCTGGAGCCCTCCTGGCCCTGGCTGAGATCATCATCTCCCCGTTCACATTTTCCCCCAGGAGTGGGGTTGGGTTAGAGGTGGGTTCTAATTCTATAGCAGCTAGATTCCATTCTTCCCATCCTGACCATCCTGCCTTTACTCCTAATACCCCTTTTCCTACTGACCAAATCTCTTTACTTTGTTGGGGAAAAGAAGTATTTTGTTTTTAAATCTATTTTCTAACTTAAATGCAATTTAATATGTAAATCTCTGCACTTTTGTGTGAGCCTACAAATGTGTATGTGTTGGGGGTTTTTCACTCTCTGGTATTTCTTAATAAAGAAATCTTTCTTTTGGGGGGAAGCCAATTAATGAAGGAGACTTGAATGGTCTTAGAAATACAGGGCTGTCTGTTTCTTTGTGCTTTTGCCTCATTTCTTTACTTGTGTCTAGTGTGAGTGATCGGGACCCCCTCCCCCACTTTTTGACCCCCTTCCTTTGAGAGGGCCCTCAACTTAGTGGGCCAGAGAGAGGAACCTGGCCTGTGTCTGATACCCCTCTGGGACCATTTGGATTGGTTCAAGTGGTAACCTAGCAACTGAGATCCCCCACTCCCCATGTTCTGGCCCTGTTAGTCCTTTTCTTCCGGCTCAGTTCATTTTATACTCCTGAGGCTGAGGCCAGCCTAGGGAAAATCACTCAGGGATCACAGTAAGCGGTTTTTAAAAAAATGATAATTTGTTCTCATGACTTGGTACTACTAAAGGAAAGTCATATTCTCAATAATTCAAAAGGCATTTGTGTCACTTTTGAGAATACATTCTAGGAACTTCTTGCTGTTGTTAGGTGACAGGTTTTGGAAATAGTCTCAAAGGCTCAAACTTTGAATATCATTAGTTTTAAAGGATGCGAGCCCAACTCAGAGAGAGAGAGAGCGCAAGTGACTCTTTGTGGGTTTCTTGTTTTGGATAAATATGAAAGGGGAATGGGAGATATAAATCTGCATCTGTAAAACTTTCAAATGTCCTACAAAGTATGTAGGTGGAAAAAACTGGAATGACTACCTGAGCTTAATTGTTTCACAAATAAACACAAAATTCACATATATAAGAATTTCCAGGAATGCAAACTTATGAATTGGGGGAAGATGGTATTTTACTTTGTTCAAAACTTTACTATGAGTTATTCATGACTTTCAAAAACCATGCCACTATAAGTAGTGCCATTCGTGGGTATTTAAGTTGCCAGCACAGCCTATCTGAATGATCCTACATTTCTAGCACCTGCATTCAACAGGGATTCTACAGATAGATGGGAGAATTTCACACTTTATTGTATGTTTTAGTGTAGTCTTGCCTAGGTATTTATATATTAAAATACATATAATCTTACTATAAATTACTTTCTTAGTACAGTCAACCCTGTATATCTGTGGGTTCTACATCCATAGATTAAATTAACTAACCTTGGATGGAAAATATTCAAACATTTTTTTTCATGTCATTAGTCCCTAAACAATATAACAATGATTTGTGTAGCATTTACATTGTATTAGGTAACAGAAGTAATCTAGCTATGATTTAAAGCATACAGGAGTATGTGGATAATTAATTCCTATACAAATACTATTCCATATGCCAGCATTTATAGATTTTGGTATTCTTGGGATGTGGAAGGAACAATGGGGCCAATTGTCCTAACTATACATTACATTGGTATTTTTTAAATTATAAGTATAATCAGATTATATTAACAATGAAGTTCATTTTGGGCTGGGGTAAAAGGTGCTTTAAAATACTATTAACTAGCAAGGAAGCATTGGACTGCTAGGATTGAGAACCATTGGACCAGATTATCTTTTTTTTTTTTTTTTTAAGTGGTGCTGGAAATCAAACCCAGGGCATGGTGCATGCTAGGCAAGCACTCTACCAGTGACTTATGCTGCCAGCCCTCAGAGATTCCTTTCTCACTCAAAATATTTATAAAGACCAAGCAGAAAATAAATGAACATGTCTCTCACCTCACACCTTTAATATGCTTTAAAAAATTTTTAAAGTAATATATGCTCGTTGTTGAACATTGGAAAAGTACAGGAAAAGTAAGAATATATTTTTTAAAAATCATCTATAAACTTATCACCAAGATATAGTAATCACTGTTATGCTTTGGTTGTTTCTTTCTAGTCTTTTTGGCATGTAAACATTTAAACATAACTGGAATTCAACTATAAAATATAGTTTTATAAATCTGCTTTTTTGCTTAGTATTTTCCATATCATTAGAAATTATTTGAAAATATTTCTTAATGACTCCACAAAACAGTCATAACCTTCCCCCTGGAATCTGATATTAAGGAGTTTCCAGTTTTTCATTATTATAAGTAATGTTGTGAGAACTCCCTTAGATGTGGACATATCTGTGATTATTTCCTTAGGATAGATTACTAGAAGTGGAATTATTGTGTCAAAGAGAATGCTATTTTAAATAAATAAAAAATGCTATTTTAATGCTCTTGGTAAATATGGTCAAATTGCTTTACAGAAAGGCTGTCGCAGTTTGTTCTGCCTGCAGTGTATCAGAGAACCTGCTTCAGTCCATCTCATGCAAACATTTGGTACAGTAATTTGATAGCTGTAAACATATCTTAGTGCCATGTAGTTTATATATCTTTGATTAATCATGAAATTACACATTTTCTGCCCCTCTTCTCTGCCCTATATTACAATTTTTATTTCTTCTATGAATTGTCTGTCCAAGACCTTTGAATATTTTTCTTCTGATATTAGGTGGTTTTTAATCCATTAATAAATTAAAACTTAGAGCTCACATTCCACCATGGGCCAGGGAATGAGGAGACCCTTAATTTAGAAGTGGTTTTACAACTCTATAACATGGAGTGGAATCATCTTCTTTACATTCCATGCCCCTTTGCTTTCTTTAAACCCTCATTTTCCACTGTCTTTTCAGCCAGTTACTGCCTATCTCTTTGGCTATATATCAACAGCTATTTGGCTGTTGTAACTTGGCTGAAATAATTAGAGTTTTGTGTCCAAATAAGAGACATGATGGTTATTTGTCATAAAATATAGGTTATGTTGAACAACAAAGCTGAAGGGAATGTATCAATCATATAATCCATATAGCTCATTTGTGCTCACGTGTGTGTGTTCTTTCCAAATTAAGTACAATGACTTATCCAAGGTCACATAAAGAATTACTGGTACAGCCAAGACCAAAATGAAGATGCACTTACTTCCAGTTTAGAGAGCTCTCCAGTGTTACCCATTG